CCCCAAAACCCCAAAACCCCAAAACCCCAAAACCCCGTAAATAATCTTTTGATAATTTAAGTGTGATGAGTTATTTAAAATTCTTTCTTCTAAATTATAAATAAAGATTAAATATGATATCTCTTGAAAACCTAGATGATTATAATGGAAGAGCACTTTTGAATAGGTATTCTAATATATTAAGGTCTTATATATCCTTAATAGTCCTCGATCTTTAGAAGCCTGCTAGCGGATAGGTTTGAATCCAAAGGAACTGATTTACAAGCCAATTGAGGACTTTAAAGATAAGAATCTAGATCACTAGATTGTCTAAATTAGATATCAGCATCATGAGTCAAAGAGAAGAGAGCTATTGTATAAAGCCAAGAAAGAAAGAGGAGAAATAATTAAAATAATTGAAACAAATGGCGATCATCTGAAGCCTGGTTCTTTTATCTAGCCGTTGGCTGTGCTTTAGCATTAGAATTTGGATTACTCTAAATCAGTCGTCAATATAAAGGCATTCAATTCCCCATCCTCTTAAAATTAAAGTCAAATATCTTCACCTCAAAATGCAAGAGGCTTGCAACCTACTTAATCATAACCTTAGCTATCTCTTGAGTAATCCCGGATTTAGGCATTCTAACAACTATAGAAATAAGGTATCATTGATGACAATGTAAATTTGATTTGATTTTAACTTTTTTGCATCAGTACTATAAACGTTTCGCTTAAGCTTAAAAAGTTGAAAATAAAGTGGTTGTAAGCAGAATTGAAAAAGATGTAGATATCTAGATAAAGATCAAAGAGCTATAATAAAGGTAAAGAATATTTTGTAACAATTTAATAGAGCACTAGATGAAGAAATTAGAAGCTTAAAGAGAATAGAAGAGGAACATCAAAATTTTCATTACAAGACGAGGCAAAAAATTAAAAGGGAACAAGATTAGCAATACCAAAAGAATAGGGATTTACTAGATCAGAAGTAAAATTTTAAGAAAGAAGTTGATAAAGATATACAGTAATTATTTAAGCAGAAATAGGATAAGGTAGATTAAATACTTGTTTGTTTATTGATGATATTAGGAAATAAGAGATTACTAAAGAAGAAAAAGAATGAGTTAAACAGACAGCATGATAAGAGAAAAATTATATAAGATTAGAGATATTCAAAATAAGAAACTTTCTGAGAAACTTTACAAGGTAGAATATATTGTATTAATTTTATGATTTAGTTAGAGAAAGTTGAAGATAGAATATCGCATTGCAGTGTATACAAGGCTAAAACCATTGAGGAATAAATAATTGCTAAGAAATAAAGAAGAGTAGAAAAAGAATTATCATAGAAGAGAAGGCTTGAGTAACTTTAAAAAGAAAAGGAGATGAGATAATAAGATATATTCCAAAAAATTATGAAAGAAGATGCTGATTATGAAAGAAAGGTCTATGACTAAGCATAAAATTACAGGATTTCTGATGTAGGAGGAGGATCTGAGGACGGAGGAGGGGGTTTGTTTGATAAAAAAGAAAGATTTAGAATGGTGAAGAAGTAGGGTGAGAAGCAATTAAAGTAGAGGTAAGATGAGCTAATTGAAAGAATGTAAAAGGTAGAGGATCAATAATAAAAAAAGCTGGAAGAAAAAGAGAAAAGAATGGAGTTGAAGAAGGAGATGTAATAGCTTAAGGAATAGTCAAAGGAGGAAAATGTCAAGAGACACCAACGAAGACTAGAGTATAAAAAAGAACTTTACTTACAGAGATTATAGTCTGAGTAGCAAACATTCAATGAGGCTAGAAAACTTAAAAATGACGTAATTTAGGAGAGATATTACAATCACATGATTGATGAGATAAAGAAGCATCAGATGAAATAATAGCTTGAGAAAATGTAATACTCTAAAAGATTTATTACAGAACCAATAGAATAAATAGCCTAGAGATTTGACTTTATGACTCACGGCGGTGTTGGCAGTGTCATGGATTAGAATAAATCCAATGCTTTTGAGAATTATAAAGGTTTTGCTTCAAATGGGAAATCCTTGTTTTCTAATAAATCAGCTAAATCAATCTTTACTTAGCCAGCAGGTAGAGGTCATTCTTCACAGGTTGATGCAAGGTCGATGTTGTCTCAAAATATCAATATCAAGATAGATGGCGGAAAAAGGTTGCATAAGGCCTTATGCATCATCTAAAGAAATGACTCAATAAATGAAATGAATAATTCTTAAAAGCCTTACTCAGCACAGACGATGAAAAGAAATCACTCACAAGCTAGTATTCCAAATACTCAAGACACTGATATTATTTCAAAAAATTTCTACATCACAAGTGGCACTCCTAAGAATTTATTATGATATATAACCTATTAAAAGGAAAATTTTAAATTTTGGATTATGAATGTATTAAGAATTGAAAATGCATTAAAATATACACGAGGGGTTTTGGGGTTTTGGGGTTTTGGGGTTTTGGGG